TTTAAAGTAATTAAACCAAGGTGTCATTTGATAAGTTTTTTTGAAAGATCTTTTGGAAGATCTGACAGTCAAAAACCATACTGGGCTCCCACAGACCGTTTGGTTGGAGGTGCTTCTTTCCACATGAAAACGAGACGAAAACAGGTGAGAAGCTTCATTTCTAACTTCCCAAAATAAATTTGGATCAAGCTTTTTGCATCTTTTGGGGGGGCGCAGTTTTTCAACTGCTAGATCTTCCCCCATTCAAACGTGAATAAACAAAAACACGGGCTGCTGAACTTTTAAATAACCAACAACCCACATGGAAAGATGCGCTAAACAAGGCCAAACTTATTTGAGGGCCCATTTGGCGAGTCTTTTCGCGTGGTCTTTTGGCGGTTTACAAGCCGTGAAGACCGAAAATCGGTCTATTTTCATTTGACATGTGGAAGATCTAGCTGCTAAAAGACAGGACGCCGAAAAGATGTGCGAAGCCCACTTTGGACTGATTTCGGGATGCTCCAAGTGAAGCTTCCTGCATCTCACGCTTTAATCTCGCGCGAAAAGACCCAAAACGATACACGAAAAGACGCACATATGCCAAACAATCTTCGGACTGCCCAGATCTTATGTCAAAAGCTCAATACGTCTTTTAACTATCAAAACTACAAAAAATCTTCTCAAAAAGACTTACCAAACGAACCCTAAATCTTCATCTCTCAAATATACCGACACTTTGGCCCATCTTATAAAAAGTGCCTCTATGTATACGTTCAACCAAGGCTATATTTACAAATGTTGCAATGACACTATGTCAACGAATTGGGTTTGGTGCCGATAAACCTTATCAAAAATTTTATCAAGGTTGATCCAGTTGGGTCAATGCAGGTTTACCATTTTACCTCACCCGTTGGCATCCTTATATTCAACCTAATTAATTCAATCATAAATACATTGCAGAAGGAGTGTATAATAATTGTTAGTCATAAAAAGTTTAACAACATATAGTGTTTGGATTTAACTTTTATAATTTAATTAAGATAAGTATGAAATTTATTTAATATAGATTTAATGAGAAAAAAAAACATTAAAAAACCATCGCAATAATAAGGAACAGATTTTATGGCCCCATTGTTTGGGAACAAGCTTGCTAAAGGGCCCAGAAATTTTTTAGGTGAAAAATTGTTTGAGCCCAAAAGAACCCCATGTGTTGGAGGGTAATGTTTCAGCTCAAAAATTCTAGCTACTGTGTATCTAAATCCTTTTTTTTTAAGCATGCAAACTTGGTTTAAGTGTTTCACCCTTAAGAGATATACATTGAGCATGTTAGTGATGAAAATTTGGCTTGAGGCAGATATAACAGAGCCATTAATTACGACGTATAAATTAATTCACAATTGGGTCAAAGTTCAGGTATAAGCCACCAATGCTAGAGGAGACATGGTAATGTTTATAGGGTAAAGGTGTAACGCATTCTCTCTCTATGGGCGTTCGATCTATGGGTTCGCAGCCCCTGCAGGCTGGGACAGGATGTTCATTTGGGGGCCCATTCAAATAATTAAGAGGGTAATAATGCGTTTTTCTAAAACTGCTTTAATCTCCTCTATTTTTGAGCTTTTCAAATATTTTCCATTACATTTCAGTAAAATTATACAAATAACCCCCCTTTCATTAGTTTGACCTGGATGGACACAATAAAATTACAGTGATGCTCCTATTATTTTTTCTTCAGACAGAAAAATACAACATTTTATATACCAACTTTACCCTTTGATAGTATTGAAGAAACAGACCCACTTGTCTCTCCGAGTTTATAAAACCACTCAAACCCCACCTACTTCTATTGTTTAAAATGACAGGTTTGCAATGTATGTGTAAAAGAGCTTTTTGGGTTGTTTCACTCCAATAATTGTCAAAAGCTAAAGCATTTGTCAGGGAGGTTTAAGTAATTTGTCATAGGTATTTTCCAAAGCCTATACCTAAGAGTATCTAAGTAATCCACCTTAGCTCTCTCATGCAACAGGTTTTAGGTTCTACATAAGAGGTTGTGAGCTTCTTTCACGGCTCAATTTAAACTTTGAAGTTGAATTTATTACCATAACTTTCGATATTTATATTTTATTATTTAATTAATCTATAAAGTACGGGCAGATTTCTGAATTCCACCGTAAAACTATAAACATCTAAAATGTCAAAAATCCTATTTTATACATCAATACCCGCCCATGAATTGGTATCAATTCAGAACCGATACCCACCCAACTGTATTTTAGGTCTAAAAATTCTAACCCTGGGTTGAACCGTTGTTCTCCCTTTAAATTTTTTATGCAATTATTATATCTATGGACTGATTACTTACAGAGAAGCTGATCCAACTAAAAGATGGGCTTGCCAAAGATTTGGTTGTCCACAGGGTCTCTCCATGACACGCATGAACTCTATGCCACAGTAATGATGCTGGATACATTGATGATGTGTGGATTAGCATAACATGCTAGTAAAAGAATTTTAGCTGTCTAAATTAAATTTGACTTCTCCTCATTTTCATCATCATCCAAGCCTTATCCCAATAATATTGCGCCAGCTACATGAATTCTATTTCAACAGTTTGATTTGTTTGTTGTCCATATCCATTTGTTAAATTATTTGGCATTTAAATCATTTCTTACTATCAATGTCTTTTTTTCTTTTAGGTCTACCTTTGTCCTTTTAATCCCTTCAATTTGTAATAAATAGTTTCTCCTTATTCCCTTGTATTATCAAAAAAAAAAAAAAAAAGATTGTTATTAATGGTTTTCTATGCATATGACCAGAGATCAACCATTTTAATATATTTTCCTTCATTTTATTACCTATTAAAACTATTCTTAAATTCTTAACAATGAGTTTTTTTTTATACACTCATTCATTTCAATCTATACATTTCTGTCACACTTATTTCTTGGATATGTTCCTTAATTGCCCAAAACCCCTCCCCATATGACACATTAATAAATTTGGATATTGTGTGCTAAATACAGGTTCATCTATTCCAGAATTTCAAAACTATAATCTATCCCATTATGATGCAGATTTTAGATTTTGTGGCAGAGCTTCAATCTCAACCACCTTTTTTTTGGTAATGGGCTTCACCGCTACACAACATGGGGTAGCCTTGTGGTTGTCATGTTTGTTGATAATGCAAATTACTAAAAAAGAAAACAAAAGAACAAAAAAAGAAAAAAAGCAATTTGTTGAATTTACTATTTACTTGAACTGAAGCCCTTTTTTAAGGGTAACTCCATTGTCTCTTTTAGAAAAAAAAAAAAGCTCCGTTATTGTCTCATTAGTTGTTCTTAGGGGATTCATCTAATGTGGAATATGAAACATAACTTATGAGATAATTACAATAAAGAAATTATTATCAAAATGCACAAATTATCAATAATTTACACATATATCTCCACATCAGTCTATTCAAGGTCAACAATACCTAATTAATCTAAACCCTGAGAGACGTTTAGATTTGGTTTTCTGCATTCCCACTTCATGCTTTCGACAACTTTTGACAATTGAGTGACCACCATCCAATTGGGTTAAGTTCTAACTCAAACAAATCTCTTACACAACTGGAATTAGACGAACGATTGGCTGTTTTTCTTCAAATTAATCAAAGTAATTAATGCCCCCTGCCTGACTCAACCATCATCCTTATCAACTTTTAGTGTATTTTTCAAAGTTCAAACTAAACTTCCAATGACAATGGCCAAAGAATTTAGCTGAGACCGTCCAGACCCTTTCCTTTTAGATAACATTTTCTACATTATCTCTATTAGATAAAGAACTGTTGAACCAAAATAAATGGATACATAAAAAAGACACCCATCTCCCCATATGTAACTTGTCCCTTCCATTTCTTTTATTTTCTTTTTTTTTCGAGATTTGACTTTTTATGGTACATCTCCATGTTAATGTTTAATTTGAAGAAGCATCAAGTCATGGCCTCAATTGCATGCAAACATGTGAATGGGGCCTTAGGTCTTTGTCTCTTAATTTTCATTCTTCCTCTCTGATTCATTCAACCCGGAGAGAGAAGGGCCCCTTTTGCCAATGGTTTTGTTATTTTTGGCATTGCATGGATGATGGACCTTTATGGGGTCTCTCATAGCCTATCTACAGATAGGCGAATGCGCTTTCCCTAGGTAAAGGTTCTGGGTTCACACCTCTTGTCCTCCACGACAAGATTCCACATATACTCTTATTATAACCTCCTCTGTCTGTTGCAGTACACAATCATGAATAATGCCTGAAGAGTGAAGAATTTTCCCCCAGATATGGCGCTAGTATGTAGCAATTCTTGGCTAAGGACTAAGGTGTGGTTTTCCCCTTCTGTCCTCCAATCAAGAAAGTGGAAACGACCCCACCCATCATGAGATCTTAGCCGTTCCTTGTCCCTCCCAATTGATATAAATAATAGCTTAAAGGCCTGATTCCTAAAATAACCATTTTGTTTAATGGTACAGAAGTAAAAACTAAAAACAATTGACCTGGATATTCTGGAATAGTTTTTTTTTTTATCCAATTATTTCCATCCATCACACTATCAAACTCAACCCCCACTAATTTCGATTAGTGTGTTGAATTGTATTGCTTATGGATTGATTTGATGGTCATGGTAGTTGGAATTTTGTAGTGTTCAACTTCAACAAAGTAAAGCTATGCCTACCAAAGAAAACAGATTCAAATGTAACTACACAAGCCCAATAAATAAGGTAAAAACATAAGAGTAATCTGGTTCTATCTCTAAACAGAAGAAAAAACTGGGATTTCATCATATTTCAAGCTTAAAGCTATTATCTATACGGAGATCACATTCACTATCCTATCCAACCTCCATTTGTTTTCCAGTATCAACGGAAGGCAGCTTTTAAGGAGATTAGTTGCGGAAAAGTACATTGACCGTGAACCCATCAAATGATCAACCATTCAACCTCAACCTAAGATAAAGACTAATATAAGAAGAGAGAGAGATTATAAAGAAGGAAGAAATAGGAAAATAAAATAGAAGAGGAGACCGAGGTGGGTCAGAAACACACGTTGTGTTCAGGCAATCCATGTGCCCACATGGATGATAGGGAGAGAGAGGAGAGAAGAGGAGAAGAGAAAGAGAAGTGGAACTGTGCAACAGAGAAAGAAAGAGAGGAAGAACACAGAAACCCACCATCCCTCTTTCTCGTTTGCTGCAACTACAACAACAGCAGTTGCTCTTGTCTTTCTTTGTTGTAGAAATAGATAGAGATAGTTATAGTTAAAGAAGAAAAAGACTGATTTGTTGTTTTGATTGGGAGACATAGTAAATACATAGGAAGAGAAATGAAGGAGAGCAGTGATGGGTTTGTTAGGGCAGATCAAATTGATCTGAAGAGATTGGATGAACAGCTAGAGAGGCATCTCAGTAGAGCATGGACTATGGAGAAGAAGAAGGAGGAGGGAGAGAAGGAGCGGGTCACTAGGGAAGAGTGGGAGATCGATCCCAGTAAGCTTATTATAAAGGGTGCTATTGCTCGTGGTACCTTCGGCACCGTTCACAGAGGGGTTTATGATGGCCAGGACGTCGCAGGTGAGAAAGCCCAATCCCCCCTCCCCTCTCCCCAACCATGCATACATAGTGGTTTTCTTTTCCTTTTTTTTTTTTTTTCTCTGTAAGTCATTGTTTCTCCTTGCTTTTTCTTCTTTTCTGAATATCTTATTATTATTTTTTTAATTTGTTCCATTTGTTTTTAACTTAACATCTTTAATATGCTCATTTGTAGTTCTTCTTTTTGAGTTTTTTGGTTCTTCTCTTTCCTTTTCATTCTGAGCTGCTCATTGCCTTTCTGCTTGGTTTCAACTTCCTTTCCCCCATATTTTTCTTCCTCCGGCCTTTTTTCCTATGGTAAATTTATTTGGATTTATTCTTTCTATTTTTCTTTGAATTTTCTTGTCTTATTGGATTTGCATTTGGACTTATTTCACATTTCTGCTTTTATTTTATCTTGTTCCTGTGGTTTTTCTTTTCCTTCCACCCCCCCCCCCCCTCAATTGAGCATTTTTATAAGATACCCAGTTAGTTTAATTTGGTTTCCAAAAAGAGTAGACTTTCCATCGCTGATCCAGTTAAAGATTCTTAAAGATTCCTCCTAGAGAATTCCTTATGTGTTCTGTTCTGACCTGGATTTTGGTTTCATTAGGCTTTTGTGAGAAGCCTCCTTTGGGCCCTTGTTTGGCTTAGTGGTAAAGGAACCATATTGCCATTTGTTGTTGTATTTTTTTTTCTCATTTTCTTAGCTTTAATTTTTTGCCCTTCAATCATCTTCCATTGGAAAATGATCCAATTTCTGTTGATTCTCGTGGCATGGTTAGTATCTAATGCCTGTGAATCTAATCTTACTGTACCTGTAGTTCACGAGAGTGGGTTGGGTTGGCAGGTAACTGGACTACTTTCCAAAATAGTCGTGTTTCAGTTTCCTTTTCCCGAACTTTCATGTGAATCTGGCTTTTGGTTCACGCTTGTCTGTGTCCATCTACAATGTGGATAAACTCACATAAAATACATTTGAAAAGTACATTCAGTTGGTTTTAGTGAACGATATAGACTGGCTAAGTTACAAGAGGTCCCACACTGGATCTGTGATCACAAGCTAAAACTATGTAACCCCTTATTAAATTTGATTTTGGTGTGAGGCAATCTATTATTTGATTTGATCTCAATTTAAGGTGAAGAGCCTTTCTGCTGCCAGGGCTTCACTCCTTTGTTTATTTGGTTATATTTTTTAGCAAAAAAAAAGAACCATATCTGGTGCATGTCATCCATGTGCAGCACACTACCTATCTTCCTTCTATCCTTTCAATTTTATCAGATATCTATGAAGGGATGAACATATTTTTTTTCCTAAATTCATATAAATATCTATAATTTCAAATTTAAGAATGTTTCACTAACAGTAGGGTTCACTCTGATATATCTTCAGTTAAATTACTTGACTGGGGAGAAGAGGGCCAGAGGACAGAAGCTGAAATTGCCTCACTGAGGTCGGCATTTACCCAGGAAGTTGCTGTTTGGCATAAGCTTGATCATCCAAATGTAACCAAGGTTAACCATCTATTCTTTGAGTCTTTCTTTTTCTCATTTTTTAATGTTCCGTGGATTGCCTACAAAATGTTTCAGTTGAGGTGGTTGGTGTTTGAGTTAGCATTACAAAAAAATTAAAACTAACTTCATAGTTCTGTAATAAATTGTTGATGGGCTATCCTTGGATATATCAATATGATATCCTATATTATGCCTATCATCAGGACGCATGTCTAAGTTGCAGCTTTTGAGAATCTGGATACAAAAAAAATTCTAAAATAGTATTCTCCAGTACAATTGTATATTTGTAAAGCTATTTTGAAGTGATCAAACCTCTGTGAGTTGTGTAGTACAGACATTTATAAAAAAAATAAGACTTGAAAACAAATCAGTGAGTCTTCATCCTCATATTTTCCTGTCATATAATCCATTCTTGAGTGTGTGTTAGAAATGAAGAATGCTTGAAGCTATTAAATGATCTAGTTAGCTAAATCATAATTAATGAGAATGATTAGCTTAATAATCCGAGCATAGATTTTTGTCTTAAATAGTGAATCATAGTACTATATTCCTGTCTTTAAACCTATCCAGTCACATGGCACAATTTAACAAAACTATAGTGGATGAATATGGAAAAGAAATCGCTATCCCTACTAGTGCATATCTTTAGGAGAAGTGAACGCATCATTAACTATGCTTACATCATCATTGTCATTGCCATTCTATTTGCTTGTGTTTCAACATGATGTCCTTATAATTTTTAATAAACTCTGTCAAGATGTTTACATGTACCACTTAATCATTTCATTGGGTTGCTTTTCTAAACAATTTTCTAGAATTCAATGCAAGTAAAACCAAGAGTTGCTTCCTTTTTTTATTTTATTAGTTTTGCAATCTCAAACTGATCTGATTTAAGGCTGCAAATGTGGGAGGAGTTTTGATCCATATAATATGATCTGCTTCCAGAGTTGGTCCTAGAAGTAGATCGAGTATTTTCTCTAGGTAGCTAGCAATCCCACTAAATTGTATGTTTAGCCTGTTATCATACTCTGATTCCAATTTTCCAGTGATATATATGTTGTTTCTTGTTTTTAACCTTTTTCATGTGTTCTCGACAGTATGGAAATTTTAACAATATGAGAAAAGAATGACTTACAACAGGATGCTTAAATATGTAGTTGGACTAGCCATGGCTAACCAACCTCAACTTTCTATTTTTCTATTTATACATCAGTGTGGTATGTTTCCCCAAGCAATTCTTCCGAATCTGCCCTAAGATTACCCCTTGTTTTGTAATTGAACCAGCCCAAGTTATTGGCTGTTGTTTACACCCATAAGAAAGTGACAAGCATCTCTATTAGCAGATGCTTGATTTCCTTCATAGGATGCTGGTATTGCCAAGAAGCCTGCTTGTTATTCCTTAACCAGTTTACTATCCTTGGAATCCCCTTCCACTATCAGGTTTCTGAAATTGAGTAATTTGCCCTGTCTCAAACATTGTAATACAAGTAATTCAGCTCTTTGGAATTAGGGTTGAATGCTTGATTTATTCAGTTAAAAACTGAACCAAATAAACCAAAATTGAAAAATGAAAAACCTAACTGAAACCGAATTACAGAAAAATTGAAATAACTGAAACTTAAATTTTTTGTTTGTTTTGGTTAAAACCGAATTTCATTATATATATATATATATATATTATAATGAAATGCAGTTAATATTTTTTTTTCAGTTAACCAAATTTGCAATTCTGAAAATCGAATTAACCAAACCAAAATAGCTGAACCAAAAAAACTAACCAAATAATGCTCAGCCCTGTTTGGAATCCCCAACACCTATGGGCCCTGAAAAGATTGCAAGTATTATTCCATTGTTGTGACAAACTACTCCTATTCCTACTACCAGAATTGCCTGGGTTGGTCATGGTAACCCTTCAAAATCTAATCCAACTTGATTAAGAGCTGGTGATTGAGGAATAAGCCATGGTCTACCACCCTCTTAAGATGTCATCCATAGTTTCTTGTTTTTAACTTCTCATGTTCTTAAGTTTCCTATTTGCGGAAATATGTAATTTGGCATGGAGTAGATTTTGTCACATATTGTTGGGAAATGTTTTATCTGAAGGGTTGATTTTGCAGTCCTAATGTTCAGTACATGAATAGGGAAGCACATTCAAGAATGTTCATGTGATATCGCCCTCTATTATCAGTATAGAGTGGGCAATATCTGTTTTTCATGATTCTCATGATTCATCTTCTATTGGATGTTTCTCAGATGCTGACCCTCATGTTTGTATTCATCTCTTTGCAGTTTATAGGAGCTATAATGGGGGCATCAGAGCTTAACATACAAACAGAAAATGGTCAAATTGACATGCCAAGTAATGTTTGTTGTGTTGTTGTTGAATATCTTCCTGGGGGTGCATTAAAGTCCTACCTTATAAAGAACCGGAGAAAGAAGCTAGCTTTTAAAGTTGTTGTCCAATTGGCCCTGGATCTTGCACGAGGGTTAGACTCCTTTACATCTTGTTATTTTTAACTATTCAAAGCAGTCAGTTTCATATATTAATTTTCATGGATATTTAACAGTTAAGGTGTCTATTAGCAATATGTAACCTTTAATTTGTCAGAGCGACTCTCTGAGAGCAGAAAATTGACAAGGATTTTTTGTCCCTCATTGTATAGGTTGAGTTACCTTCATTCAAAGAAGATTGTTCACAGAGATGTGAAAACAGAGAACATGCTTCTAGATAAGACACGGACTGTAAAAATAGCTGACTTTGGGGTTGCTCGTGTTGAGGCTCAAAATCCTAATGATATGACGGGTGAGACAGGGACCCTTGGTTACATGGCTCCCGAGGTACAAAAGTTAGCTCATCTACAGCAAAATTTACCTTGCCAATTTATTATGTTATTTTATTTTGGGAAAGTTCCCAGACTGCACCAATCCAACCCCTGTTTCATGGTGACGTAAAATTGGTAGGCAATGCTCAGCATTTATACCCAAATTGTGTTTTTGGATAATTACCATATTGACCTCATGCATCGGACATTTTTAATCTTCACTTGAAAAGATGCCCACAAAGGGGTGTTTTTTCCAACATTGCTGAGGTCTTTTAGTCCCAAATTTGCCACATGATGAGTGGATGAATTGGTGAAGTGATGGTCATTCTTGAAAAACTCCTCCAGTGCACCTATCCCTTCAATTTCTTGCTTTCTTTTTAATGAGTGGTGATTTCTTTTATCTGTTTTGAAGCTTCACCAGACACCAATTGATTTCCTACATCAGTGACAAGAAATGTCATGGATTGAATTTCTGAATTAGATATAATGTGTTTCTAACCTATCACCATTGACATAGGTGGATGCCTGCATTTCAGGTCCTCAATGGAAACCCATATAACAGGAAATGTGATGTTTACAGTTTTGGTATCTGCTTGTGGGAAATATATTGTTGTGACATGCCCTATCCCGATCTTAGCTTCTCAGAAGTGACATCTGCTGTTGTCCGCCAGGTACATAACATAAATGATCCCTTCCTTCTCCAGCCAATGGTTAGAGTCCAACATATAATTTAAGAAATCATCGAAAACTATACTTGAAATTGCAGAATCTGAGGCCGGAAATACCACGCTGTTGCCCAAGCTCTCTGGCAAATATTATGAAGCGATGCTGGGATGCAAACCCTGACAAGCGGCCGGAGATGGATGAGGTGGTGTCCATGTTAGAGGCCATTGACACATCAAAGGGTGGAGGCATGATCCCCCTTGATCAGCCTCAAGGTTGTTTGTGCTTCCGCAAGTACCGAGGACCCTGAGAAAGAAGTTCTTCCTTTAGAGTAGAGAAATAACTAGGAAACTTGATGCATATAAAGCTCAGAAATTCCTATTTGCATTCAAGGTGAGAAAAGATGAGAATTCAGAGATGGAAAAAAAAAAAAAAAGCATGGTGGTGTTATAGGCTGAGAAGCCCGGCAACATCTTATCTCTCCCATGGGAGGATGTAAAGCTTTCTTTTGCTCTTCCTGCTTTCTAATTGTGTGTATTTAAATGGCCAGTTCTAGGGTGGACTGGCTCTTCCACCTGTTCTGTAAGACTAGTCTCTGTGTTTTCAATTATTATCGTGATATGATCCAACTCAACTGGATACTGTAATTTGGAATTGTTTCCGGTTTGGGTGGACCAGACGGCTAAATCTAGGGACACTGCGAACCAAAATCCTGAAATAGTTATTAGTTAACGACTGCTACCTTTGGAAATACAAGTTACCAAATTCGGCTTCTTCAAAACTGGATCTCCCTCCATCAGCTTTTACAGCTTATCCACTCTACTGTTTTAGAAAAGAAAATTTCCCGTGATGCATTCCACTGTGTGTCCAAAAAAACTTATAAATGTGCACAATCTCTTGTTTGCACCACAGTTTTAAAAGCAAATTTATTAATTTATAAACTCCCATCCGTTTGTGAGTCTAAACTCTACAGTTTTAAATGCGCACAATCTCAGCTGACCAGTGATTCAAATGATTATGATCATGGTTTTGAAAACTGCACCAGTCCGGATGGTTGGACCAGTTGATCCAGGAACCGGTCAGGTAACCAGTTTTGTTCCACCCCATAACGGTCCTTGAGTCAAAAACCGTTGGTTTGATCAGTAACCTGCTGATCAGGTGGTTGAACCATCGACCACATTGGTAGCGGTTCCGTGTCTAGTCTGGTTTTTAAAATCCCCGTCTTGTCTTGTGTAGTACCTTCCGATTTATCAAAAATTTGTACCACTCTCTATACGGCATTAACATTTAACAGGGTGTGTGACTGTGTTCTCACTCTTTTTTGGTCATCTTAAGGTGGTTTGACTGGTGTTCAGTGGTGCCCGTGTTTAAAAATTAAAACCACGATATAAATAATTGTCAAATTGTGCATTGTGTGTTATGTGCTAAAACACCTTGTTTTCCCAATTTTCAATATTATATCTCAAAGTACAAATTTTGAGACTTATCACCATTGGATAACAGGATAAGGTTCAAATTTCAAAGTATCAAGCTCAGCTCACTGATACTCAATTTCAGTCTTTCTGTATATTAAAAGGTGTTGTACAAGTTCTCCATGGAAAGAATTGAATTCTCTTGCTTTCTTACATAATTCGTAGAGTTTGCAGGTTAATCAAATATTACTCCATCTTGCAAGGTTCATCAGCTATGTAAAATGCTACAAGACATTTGTAATGTGAATAGAAGATGAATTCAACAAGTATTACCCATGAAGAACCGGTTACTTAAAAAAAAATCTCGTCGTTTAAGAAAAATAGTAAATTGCTAAAATCTCCCCTGAAGTTTTTGACCATCTCTTAAATCTCCTATGCATTTATTGCAATTACCTCTCCTAAACTTTCTGACACAATGGCAAGTAGAAGTAGACCCCCTTTGTTAAATTCCTCTATAACAAGAGGCACTAAAATGTTCAAAATTCCCATGCAATTACTTTTTATCAAAGTGTTCATTTTCCAAATTTTCTCTTCATATCAATTGTACCCAAGCCCTTCCAGTCTCTTTTTCAAATTTGATTTATTTTCTAGATTTTCCCTTCATATCAATCGCTCGAAGGTAAAACTGCAACTTTATGCTATTTTTGGTTGCAACGCAAATAAATTTGCACTAATGCAAAACCATGGCAGTGTAAATGATTTGAGTGTAAATTCTGACCTATTTTTGTTTCAAAATTTAGCTTATTTTGTTTGATTGCAATATAAATAAAATAAATTAAGACATGAAGCAGAATAAAGTAAAACCCAAAACAAAATTAAATAATAATGTACATTTTTTTCATTTGCACTCCCATGCATTTGTACTAATGCAAATAAAATTGCACTACAACCAAACATAGCCTTAAATTCTTTTTTTTCTTTTGTTGTTTTTTTTTCCTGTAGAAATCAGCCTCAATATATAGTAACTGCATGGGTATTTTGGACATATTGTGCCTCTTAGAGGATTTTAACAAAAGGAATCTAATTGCAACTGTATCGTATCGGAGATAATTGCAATGACCAAACTTCAAGTGAGGTTTCAGAAATTTACCCTAAAAAAAAAGGAGTAAATGATCTTTTTTCACATTAAAGCCATGTCTCCCCTGTTTTAGAAAAATTTTAGAAATTTCATGACAACACTAATGGCATGGTCCTATATACTGTGAAAAGAACCCTCTCTGAAAGGAGACAAAGCTGAACTCAAGTTACATGTTTAGAATCTCTTACTACTTCTGAGGAACTTCAGATCATCCGTAATGGAAATCCATATGTTGAAGCGGCATTTGGTAGTAAGCAAAAGGGTTCTGAGTATATAATATATCCTTTTTGGATGTTAATGAGAATTCTAATGTGCACTTTCAAAATTGCACCACCAAATACCCAATAAGTAATAAAAGAGAAGCGCAGCAAAAATATGATGGCTATTCATTTGTACACAGTCAATGCTAAATTTCTAATCCAAGATGAACAGTAAAATAATAGCCTATAAAGGTTCAGACGAAGTCTCGTTATTTATTTATTTATTTATTTTCTGTATACAAGGCTCAAAGTGAGGTGCGTGCATGTTAGAACTTAGAAGCAAAGCATGGAGTTTTGAAATTTTCAAAAAAAAAATAATAATAATACATTAAAATGTAAGCTTGAATTAAAGAAATTAAATGTTTTAAAAATCCTGTTGGCTCAAACTAAACTTCATAAAAATAGCATTATTCAAAATGAAACCATAGAAGTGAAAGTAAACAATTATACATCGTAAATTACATCAATCATCATCCGAACATTTAAGTACATAAAACTTTGTTTGCATTAGTATAGGTACTTAAGTAGTTAATGTAATGTTAGTTTATTGAAAATAAACTAAAAATTACACTTAGGCCCAAAAAAGGGGATTTTGGCAAAAATAATGAGGCAAGGCACCTTTAACCCTTGGGATACATAGATATCAAAAAGTTATCCAAAAGAAAACAAAATCATCTCAATCGTGGACATTTTAATTGGAAAAATCTATGTTAGAGGTTCTATTTATATGATCTAATGCTTTAAGATATTTGAATAGGTTTTGATTTTGTTCATTTTAAAAGTTGGTAGACCATTACTAATGTACAAATGGTAATAAAAGGTGATTTAGAAGTTGATCAACTATTTCAAAGATGTGAATTCACAAAAAAAAAAAAAAGGAAAAGAAAAAAGAAAAAGAAGAGTTGACAAGTATTCAATCATTTTGTTTGCAATGCAAATTTGAACCAGCACAAATTCCACATTTTATTTTTGAAGAAAAAATGAACAAAATTTGCAATGCCCCTATTGCAGTAGTACAAATGAACATGGAGTTTGACTACAAACAACAAGGAGCATTTTTTTTTTTTTCTGCAACTTCAAATATAACAGAAATGCGGCAATGCGAATGTTATTTCCCTTAAATCGTCAGTCTTTTTCCCCTCATTCCACACTAAGCACAGCTGTGCAATCAAACCATATTGTGCATTGCACTGCTACTTGAGAGCTGCACTTGAGATGACTTCTTCTCATTCTGATCACCCGGCTTCCAGTAGCAAAAATACAGAATTAGTTGGGCTGCACCAAGCACAGCTCCCACGCCATTGGAAATCTAGAAGAAGAGCAAGTTTTCTGTCAACCCTTTTTTTAAAACATTTAGATAGACAAAACAAATGAAGATATACATCCTATCTCCTTTGGAAACTCTCAGCAAATTACCTTTGATGTGGAAAAAAATACATAGTGTTATTTATCTGTTTTTGGTTGGGTAATTGGTAAACAGTAGTAGAGATATATTAAATTGAAAGGGAAGCAAACGAAACAAAAACTATAAGTTGGCATTTACCAAGATGTAGAGGTCGAAACGAAGGAGAGCATAAATCAGCCAACAGATTCCATTGGAGAAGCTTGCCATCGAAATAGAGAACGGCATATATTCCACACTCTTAGTAACTATAACCGTTTTCTGCTCAATGAAAAAAAAACATCGATGCATAATTGCGTATAAAAACAAATTAACATTCATGGAATGCGCATGAGTTGATAATTTTTCCATCAGAAAATAGATATACATACCATGATGGTCAAGGGCGATCCATACATGATAATTCCAAAGACGATACAGATGGTTCCAACAAGCTTCGATCTGTCATCGTAGGTATGGAGACCCAGCAGCGTGCCCAAAATTATTGCCGATATAAACACTAATTCCAAGAATATAAATCCAATAATCTTCAACTGCACAACATAAATACAAACAAAAACAAAGATTTAATTTTAAGTATGGAAAAACCTATGATGCCTAAAAGAAATAATATCGGAAAATCTTTGACGTTTGACCCTTGTGAATTTGGATGAAAATTACTTGTTTTATAACTAATTTTATAATGTCTGTTGATTGATTATAAGTTTTTTTCGATACAGGGTCAACTTTGGCTATTGGACCCAACAGCACAGGCTGTTGAGACAGTTTCTGGGCTGAGTATACGCCCATCCTTTGATTTTTAGTAAAAATAAATTAATATTACTTATTAATTATGATAACGTGACATTCCTAAAAATTCTCTCAACATCCCCCAACAGCTAAAGTTTTTTTCTGCTAAAATACACTAGTTGTTGAAAATACTCTTGCCCTAATTCAGTATTTTATTGACCAAAATGGCCTTTTCTTCGTCTGAAGTCTCGAATCGCTGGAACGTCCGTCGCATTCTAGCGACGATGGTCACCTGATTCCCTGTATTCCACCAACAACAGCAAATAACAATCTGAAAGGTGTTCAGGACGTGTGTAAAATCAGGTATACGGATCTTGACACGCGTATGACGAAATGATAGGTTAGTGCAGGAACTAGGAAGTGTAGGCAATTAAAGTGTCGGAGTTCCAAACTCGGCGGGAGAATGAAGAAGCATTGATCTAGTTTCTAGCCATGTCTGGAACCCGCCACTTTCTTCTAGAGCCTAGACGTAAAACAGGATTAGGATTGCAGAAAAAGTAAAAGCAATGCCTAACGACGTCGGTCAAAAGCGATGCTATCGCACAGACATTACGAATCAATAAGCCAAAAGCAAGCAAGCAAGCACCAGATCTATAGAGAAGTTTGTGTTGTGAAAGCTTACTCTGTTTTTCTTGTCGGCGAAGATGAAAAACAAGGTGAGGTAGATGATCTCCAAGAAGAGGCCGATACCGTTGATGGTGAGCACGAGAATGCTGTGAGGATGGACGACCGGGGTACCATAGAACACCCACAGCATGCAATTCATTATCGTCGCGATATATGGCATCGGCGAGAAATCCCCAACCGACTTTCTCTTCAAGATCGTCACAAACGTCGGCCTGTGAAATGCAGCACGCATTATATTGTATTCTAAAACAAATCCTTCTCCAATACAGAGAGAGAGAGAGAGAGAGGGAGAGAGAGAGAGAGAGAGCCTACGCAGGCGAGATGAACAGACCGAACGATATAACATTTCCTGCAAAGAAAACACTATTAGAAAACTCTTACATTGTTTTAAAGAAAAAGACATCAGATCAAGCGGAGGTTGATATTACCCAGAAACAAGACGAGCATAAAACATCGAAAACAAAACGTACAAGAAATGGCATTGTATCTTGAAGGAAAAATAAATCATTCGCATTATCATTAATCGAAAGAGCTACTTATTAAGAAAGAAAAGAAAATAATCGTTGAAAGAAAGACAAGATCAATAATCTTTGCAATTCCACCACACGTTCAAATCGGCCGGGATAAACAAAAAAACAAAGAAATCCATCGAAGACAAGAAAAGAAAAGGAAGTAGAAATCTCTTCATCGGAGACATTAAACAAAAAAGTGATTTCATCAATAAACATGACGGGGTTTGGGTTTGCAATACCAACCGATGATGCCGACGACTATCCGAATTGTTTCAGTATTGACCATTGTCTCTCTCTCTCTTTCTCAGGAAAAGCAAACGAGGGGGTCAAAGAAAGAAAAAAAACTGAAATTAATTAGGATTTACTGGTATGAGAATGCACGATCACGAGAATGACAGAGAAATGTACTTTTCGATTAGAGTTATGGCGTAATAAAGGTTTACTTTTCAACTAGAATTTAAAACAGGAGAAAGAAAAAGAAAATAACTGTAAGAAGCAGATTACTGTGAGTGGGATAGTGGAAAAGCAATCAAGATTAGCATTTGATTCCGATTGTGCTTTCGGTTTCTTGAGCATTATATACATTTTAGGAAAATTTTGAATTCGAGTCTATCTGAAGAAAGCCTGGCGGGACGCAAATAGCGAAGTAGAACTGGCGGGTAAAGCTCTACAGTTTCTCTCTCTCCAAATGCACGACAACTGTACCAGCTCTTTTTCGACAGTTAATGCTTCTTGTATTGCCACCATGTTCGCACCTTTTATTACGACTACTCACTGGCGTTCTACATGTGGTGCATGTACGATGCTAATCCTCCACGGTTCTACTCGTGATACAAAAGCCAATTATGATGTGCAACATACATATTCCTCTAGCTCGGTCCTCGGTGTATATCCTCGTAACTTAAATTTGTAATTTTAAGTCGCTTTTAATTAATTCTTGTATTAATATTAATATCCACGAGTTCCAAAATTATGGTGGATTAATGATTCCATGTATATACTATATACAGACAGACACTTTGAATAATTCTTATTTCTTAATCCAACTTCTAACCATTATTTGCAATTCCAATGACTACTATTTGGTTCCACGTGGCAAATGTGAGAATAATCAGAACGGATAATACAGTTATTCATTAAAAGATATTCGCAAAAACGTTTGTCATACAAGTTTGGGGTGCGGTTGAATTAAAATTTGGTTAGGTTTGGATAGGTAAATCACGATTTTCATGCCATCAGTTTGAATCCAGGTCATGTTTAGGATTTTGGCCCTTGACCCTGACCCGATCCCACCATCTAATTTATACAATTATACTCAGTCCAAGTCCAAGGGCAAATAATATATTCTAAATTAATGCATTTTCTAAAAATTCAGATATGCTCACAACAAATGCTTCCATCATTGTCTCAACTCCCAAGAAGTTGCTCAAACTGCAAAGACTCATTGGAATAGAATTGGAAGCATTTTATTGGTTACAAATAGTGTTTTCGAACTGCCATTCACCTGGATGGTTGGATTGTTTGGCCCCAAGAATCGTTCAACTAATTGGGTCCATTTCATCTTTAACCTGATCCTTAGTCAACCATCCATTGACTTAGGTAATCAAATTGTCAGCCCGTTCAACTTGGACAATGGTTTTTGGATATTTTTTATTTAATTATATTTTTTAGTTTTTTTTGTATTTCTTTAAATTGGAATAGGTTGTTCATTTGAATTATATGATCAAACTGCTAACTCAGAAACTGGTGGCCAAAGTGATTCTCGTTCTAGGTTGGTTTTCAAAACCTTAATAACAAATCCCTACCCATTTTCTAATCATGTTTTTCAAGTTCGTTTGAAAATATATTAAGGCCCCGTTCACTTTTCAGGAAATTGCTTACCCCAGGTATCCATGTTCTTTTACATTTCGGGTAAATAAGAAAATGACCATTTTAGCCATAAAGGAAACATGATTAAAAGGACAATTTTGTCCCATCTAAATGTTGGCAAATTTCCCCCAAGTGGAAAAGTTACCTACCCAGGGAAAATAAATTTTCCGTAGACCATATAAAAAAAGAACATGGGTGTCTTGGTCAATGGAAACCAACTTTCCCCCTCTCAAATTCAAAAAAAAAGAAAACGGCCCCTAAAATCATTGGTTAGATTATCCTTGTATTTTTCGAAGAAATGGATGGCTAATAATCTACAACTAATTATTAGGCCTTGTTCATTCATTAAAAAGTGGAAGAGAGTAAGTTGGTAGGTTCTACCAAAAAGAAATCAACTTGTATTTAATTTCTAGGTCTCGTAAAAAGAACGATTTATGAGCAGCTCATTTACCTAGAGAAGTGCATTTCCCAAATAAATCATTTACCAAGACTCAAACGAGGCCTCAATGTGGGGCAACGGTGCCTACCCGGTTCTTTTTTCCTGCTATCAAAAGCATAGTTAATTTAATTGATTAAAATATTGCTATACAAGAGGGAGGAGGAGACCTAATCCTGTCCCCATATTGGTCCATCTGAAGACACCAAGCAGCTAATTTGTGAGCCAATATGTTAAATTTCTACTTGAAAAAAAAAAAACAGCAATTCGACCATAATCTGAAGCAAACTTCTTTTGCATTGATGAGTAAATACCTCCAGCTCCATGAAGTATTCATGTGTGATATCACAACCAAGCAGTCCCCTTGCACCTATATTTAAGGGTGTCAATTGGACTGGATTTGGTCTAATTCGAGCTGGTCATATATGAGTCTATTACAAATGGCCAGGCCCAATCCAATCTGATGAATACTTTGAATCATTTTGGTTGATCCAATTCAACATCTGAACTGTTTAAACTATTCAAATTGGTTTTAATTTAGATTTGTTCCAATCTGAACCTGATCCATTGATATCTACATTTTTATCTTCTCTCAATAGATCGGATATTGATTCAAACTGGCCCAATCCAATATAAATCCATTGTGGATGGACAAGGTCAAATCCAATCCAATAAATCCTTTGAAGTCTGAGCTATCCAATTCAATATCTCTTATGGTATGTCCAATTCATCTTTATGTTAATAAAGACACAAAACCCGGCTACTTCTGCATAAGATGCCTCTATTCCACTGTAGGAAATTCCCCTCTTCTGTACAATAGGAGAATCAATACTTGAAAAAACCTCATTAAAGCTCAATTTGGAAGAAGAACAAATGCAAATATGTACAGCATAAATACATACAAAATAATACAAAATATAAGGTTTTGCACTCTACATATTTGCATTTGTACTCCTTCCAAACTCAGCCTAACAAATCTTGTAACTTGAGCAATAACCCATAGGATTGGCATGAAACTCCCTATGGTCTATGGCTTATACTGTGTTCGAGTTCAAGAGAACAACTTCCTTATCCACATCGACACTGAATCATCCTCTTGAACTTCCTCTTTCTCCAATCTCCACCCAATAATTTCCAACCAAATGGCATTAATTAGCAAAAGTATACCGAAACAAGTGTTGGATAGATTCATCAGCCTCCCCACGCAATACACAACTTTTTCAATCCCATCACCCCTTATATGTTATTATGCAAGGGAGATGTTCTGGATTCACTAAAATAATGTTTTATGGGTAGACATGGATAGAGTTCTTACTATGAATAAGAAATCCGGATTACAATCTATTTACCTACCTAACTATCTACTAACTTCCATAAAATCAGATGCATGCGTATATAATTCCGCCTTCCAAAATCTCTTCAACTACGTACAGAGTGAACATGCATGAATGTTTCATTTCACAACAGATGTCAATGGGCCGGATTTGGGTTAGACTCCATCTAAATCAAAACTAACTTAAATTGATTGGACGATCCAAACTTTGTGTTGGGTTTGAGTTAATCCACATTTCATGGTCCGATATAATTAGCGGTCTACATTTAGAAAAATGGAGGTGCATGACCATGCAAAAAACAATGGGAGGCTTGGGAGTTAGAAGCATGGATACTATAAATAATGCAAGCTTACTCAAATTGACCTGGAAGGTGGTATCTCAAGAGGAAAACCTGTGGGTTCGTGTCATAAAAAGCAAATATTTGAAAAATGTAAACTTCCTACAAGCAACAAAAAAGAAAAAATCCTCCTGGACTTGGCAAGCCATATATGGGCAAAAAGAAAATATTTTTTCTTAAGGCTGCGTTTGGAAACGATACAAATAAAGTATAAATGCAAATATGTAGAGTGTAAAACTGTTCATGCAAATGCAAAGTTGGGCTAATTTTGTATTGACAAATTTATTTTCCTATCAAATAGGCTATTAATTGCAATGGACGCAAACACGAATTCTAATAAAATATATGCCTTTTTTATCAAAAGTCCAGTTGAATACAAACTTACTCCTTTTTTATTGATGTACTTTTACATCTCATTATCGGTTAGAAAATGCATTTTCTGTTATTTGTCTGTGTAAATGCATTGTTATCAAATACATACAAAAATGAATCAGAGTATAAATTTGCCCTGAATCAGGATTTAAACTCCATTTACATAAACATAGCCTGAAAAGGGAATAAGATGAAAAATTGGAAACTGAGGCAAATGTAAAGTCTGGTTGGATAATTGGGTCCAAAACCACCCTATCATAGAGGATAGAGGGATCCTTGATAGGGATACGGTGGACATGAACATGACAGTAGGAGAGCTGATAGGCAGAGAATCAAGAACATGGAACAATGATAAACTCAATCAGCTTTTCTCAGAGGACCTAGTAAAAAAAATCCAAACAATAGCCATTCCTAGCAGTGAAAAGGAAGATGAACTAGTTTGGGAGCCAACCCCAAATGGAGAGTTCAGCATCAAATTAATCAGCATATGCAATTCTAAAGAGGGGAGAGGCAGAAGAGAATCCACTAATAAGGAAATGGCATTTGTCAAAAAAAAAAAAAAAGACAACCTTATGTGTCCAACCATGATAAAATTCTTCCTAGGGTTGGCAATAAAAAATAAATTACCGACCAAAGCATTACTGTATGACAAGGGATCCTCATTGTCTCACCAAGGAGCTGAACGGAAACAGGATCATATCATTATCGAAGGGGACTCCAAACTTACAATTGAAGCGCTTAAAAGAACAACACAAAGAACTTGGAAAAGTCAAACAATCCTCGAGGAATGGCGGAAGATAAAAGGAACTAGGAGACTCAAGGTGGGATATTACATCCATGCACGATGCACGTGCACAGAGAAGGTAATAGAGCAGTGGACTGGCTTGCAAATCAAGCTCACTGTTCAAGGCTAAATGGTTCGAGACTACTAGTGGCGGATTTCAATTCCGTAATTCTACAAGACTCTTGGTTTT